TATTGTTGAAAGTATTACAGATACCCCCCACCCCCCACTCCATTGACCTCCTCCAGCCCGCACCCATTTCCCCCGACAGGTCTTCACCGCACTATTATCTGTGTTTATGGGTTATGCATATATGCATACAAGTTCTTTGGTTGATCTCTTTCCACCCACCCACCGCCTTCCCTCTGAGATTAATCAGTTTGTTCCATGCTTCTGTGTCTCTGGATCTATTTTGTTCATCAGTTTATTTTGTTCATTAGACTCCACGTATGAGTGAGATCATGTGATACTTATCTTTCTCTGACTGGCTTATTTCTCTTAGCATAATACTCTCCATGTCTCTGCATGCTGTCTTAAAGAGTAAGAGATCCTTCTTTTTTTTTTACAGCTGCATAGTATTCCATTGTGTAAATGTACCACAGCATTTTTATCCACTCATCTACTGATGGGCACTTGGGCTGTTCCCAAATCTTAGCTACTGTAAATTGAACATAGGGGTGCATATATTCTTTCTGATTGGTGTTTTGAGTTCCTTAGAATATATTCCTAGAAGTGGGATCATTGGGTCAAATGGCGGTTACATATTTAATTTTTTGAGGACACTCCATATTGTTTTCCATAGTGGCTGCACCAATCTGCATCCCCACCAGCAGTATACTAGGGTTCCCTTTTTTCCACATTTTAAAACCCCACATACAGGAAAATGCTAAAACAATGTGGAGTATATAAAAATACTGGACTATTACTCAACATAAAAATGAACGAACTACTGATACGCACTTTGACCTGAGTGAATCTCAAATATTACGCTGAGCTGAAAGCCAGACACAAAAGAGCACATACTGTACGATTCCATTTATTTGAAATCCCCAAACTGGCAAAGCAATGTGTTGTGATGGAAATCAGAGCAGTGGTTGCCAGGGCCAAGGGAGGGGGCACTGTCCAGGGACTTTCTGGGGTGACAGAATAGGGTGTGGGCTACATGGTGTATTTGTTAAAATTGTTTGAACTATATACTTGAGTTGTGCATTGTACCCTATGAAAATACTTCAATAAAAATGTTCTTTAAAAAGTCACTACGTCAGAAGAAGTCCCTAGGTGAGAAGGAAAACCATAAAGATGTGAAGTCGCCTCCGTCACACAGGCAGCCTTTGCTAACTTAGGCTTCTGGGAAGTGGCACCGAGGCCCTTCGTGGGCTCCTTTGTGCAGAGCATTCCAGCTCAAGCTCTGAGCCAAGTGTGAGCGTCCGTCCCGGAGGGAAGTTCATGCAGGATTCTTGCACAAAGCCTATTTGCTTTGCCCAACCCTTAACCTCCCTGTTTGGTTTGGGCAAAGTCTTGTCCTTGGACTCTCATTGAGAAAATACGTGGGAATTCAGGGGGGGCGGGGGAAGGTCAGTGTCCCCTTCTCAGGGTTTCAGTTCCCCTGCTTTCTTTAGACAACCTTCCCTTATTCAATAGGCAGTTGAGGGCCCCTCCCCATGAGCCCAGCACCTGCAGTACCCAGGGGTTCACCTAGAAAGAGCAGAGGTGACTCCTCCCTGAGGGAAGCAATCTTCTCTCAGCAATCCTCTCCCAAAGAATTGGATTGGGAGAGGTCTATGGAGAGACCATGAAAAGACGGGAAAAGTCTAAGGGTTGAGAAAAAGAAGAAAAGATCATATGCTTTCAGACTGGAACACAATGATAAGATGGAAACCCACTGTTTTAGGTTGTTGCTTCCCTGGAATTCTAGTCTTCAGGTGCTTTTTTTTTTTTTCATCACCCAAGGATATGTTTTTATTGATTTTAGAGAGAGAGGAAGGGGAGGGAAAGCAAGAAAGAGACAGAGAAACATCGATCGGTTGCCTCCCATATGCTTATGTACACTGACCAGGGATTGAACCCACAACCTAGGTATGTGCCCTGACTGGGAATCAAACTCAAAACCTTTTTGGTGTATGGGGACCAACCAACCAAGCCATCCAGCCAGGGTTCGTCTTCATTTTAAAAACTTTCTTATTGAGATATATTTATATATCATACACTTACCTATTGGAAGTACATGATTCAATGATTTTTCATATATTTATAAAGTTGTATAATCTAAGCTTAGAACCTTCTCATCACCCCCTGAAAACCCTGTATCCAGACTATTAGCACTTACTCTCCATTCTCTCCCTCACCCAGCCCCTGGCAACCCCCGATACGCTTGCTGTCTCTAGAGCTGCCTGTTCTGGACACCTCATATAGATGGAATGATGCAATATGAGATCTTGTGTGTCTGGCTTCTTTCCTTTAGCCTAATGTTTTCAAGTTCCATCCATGTTGTGAGTCTGTAATTCCTTTTTATTCCAAAATAACATTCCAATGTATGGAGAGTCATTTTGAAAAATCCTTTGAAATCTCTTCATCCCCAGAAAGCTGAAAACCCTGGTTTATATTCCCATTTCTTCTTGTTGCATTAGAACAAGTCCTTGCAGGTTTCTGAGCGTTGGCATATTCATTTTCCAAACCATCTGACCCTAAGCGACCTGCTGGGTGGCTCTGGAGGAATCACGCGGCTGTGTCTGCTGAGCACCTCGGGCCTTTGGAGGTGTGTCCTGTGCTACAGAAATGCAGCTCTGGGCCTCTCCTGACCTTTCGAGGGGCTTCTCGAGACAGGACGCCTTGTTGGGGAATGTCTGCTTCCGAACTATGTGAATCCTGAGGCGGACACAATGACTGACAGGGCTGGACTCAACCTCTTACACAGAAATCTCTATCCTCCAATCAGTTAACACTGAAAAGTGAGAATCAGAGGCTGTCAAAATGATAAAAGGACAGTTAGGCCTGGAGCTAGTTTTTATTTCTCTTGACTGCATAACTATTTTTCTAAATATTGCAAAGTTCATTATTACTGTGAAAATTGAATCTTTAGTGGAGAGACCTGCTTTTGACAAACAGCTACATGTAAGGCCTGATGGTTAGCTCCTTCAGGCCCAGCTTCTCGGCTGCACAATGGCAAAGACTAGTACCTGCCCCCTGGGCTGCTGTGATAATTCAATCATTGGTTACACAAAAGAGCAGCAGTTCCATGCGGGACACACAGGAAGCACGCTACAAACACGAGCCATTGTCTTATTTAAACTCAAAAGTGAGAGATGATGTGACATGTTAGGTATGCTTACTTGGCCATGGTGTTCAAGGTCATTTTCAAGGCAGATCCAAGGATGTGGAGTATGAAGAGGAGGTGTCGGTGCCTGGCTCTGACCTCCCATCCTGAAGATAAAGTCTTCTTTTTTTCTGTTACCCGTCTTTCAGGACGTCTTTCCTGGTTAGACAGAAACCTGAAGACGGGTTTCCTATCACTTTTACCCATGTCTGAACTTCCCTCTGGAGCAACACAGGTAAGGCCAGGGTCTGACGATCCTTATAATACTGAAGACAGCTCTTGGACTCCCACCCACCCTGAAGCCCCTCTTTCCAGGGCAGGGATATTGTGACTTACAAGGATGAACAGCCCCAGTTGCTTCAAACATTCCTATAAATGGACCAAATCAATTTTCACTTTTACCTTCATGCATCTTTAATTCCTTTCCTCTGGCTCTTCAGTTCAAATTGTTAGATATTGTGGAAGGAAGGGGCGAGGGAGAGATTACCAAGGCAGGGGTGGTGCGGTGCAGGGGAGAGGCCATTTCCGTGTCCCTGTCAACCAAAAGTCTCCAAAGCTTTAGTCCTGATGTGGCGTTTCACTAATGGAAGCATCTCTCCTTCCTGCTTTGTCCTTTCCTGCTTGTGTCACACACAGAGCTCCAGACCTTTGCCCCAGACGTTACATCCTGGGAAACCACGGGGCAGAGCTGGCTCGTTTTGTCAGTGGTTTGTGTCCAGGTGGTCCCCTGGATTGGGGTAATAACCACCCTCTCGGACCAGAGGAGGAGGCTCAGAAAAGGTGGGCACCTCCCTGTCTGAGTGTCCTGCAGGCCCAGTGCTTCTCAGACCGCAAAGGCTCACCTCTGGACCCTCGCCTGTCTCTGCCCACTGGGAATTTAAGGTTCTGGGAGGCGAGGAGAATTACCCTGTTTCCTGCAGGGGCCTCGTCTCACCCATGGGCCTCTACCCGTGGGACCATGCAGCGGTCGTGCCTGCTCTGGCCCTGCTGCAGCCCTGGGAAGGCCAGGGGCCAGACCCCGTGCTTCCTTGTCAAGTTTGAGAGGTGAGAGGGCTCTGAGTGTTAGGGTCACCGACGGAGACATGCACAAATGTATTAGATCATCTGGAAACCAGATGGGCTGAGCCCCTAAATGGCGCCAGCACCCAGAGATGGGGAGTCAGAGACTTTAAAGGACTCTAGGTGGGCTTTTTGGCAGGGAATTCTCTGGGTGGGTCCGGATCCTGGGCAAGTCCGGAGGGAAAAGTTACTGGTCTTAGTAAGTGGAATGTGGTCTAAGCGAAAGGAAATGTCGGTTGGGAAATGACCTCAAGGTCAGTTTCCCAGGGGAGGAGGTATTGATTCGATTATTTGATCAGACCTCACAGCGAGCATCTAGTGATCAGGCTGGAGTCTATCCAGTCTTAGCTCGACATTGGACTCCTTTCCAACTGACCCCCATTAAAGCCAGGGCCTCACTGAACACACTGCCACCTGGAGTTGGCACACACTCGAGACCCCCGTGCTGCTCGGGGTGATGTGTGTGAAGACTTACCTGGCACGTGCTGTGGTGACGGTCCCAGAGGTGGGCGCTCTGTTCTGACAGACCCTGGGTAGGTAAGGGGCTCCCTGGCCAGACCCTAGAACAGCCTGGGCCTCCCAGGGCTAGTCACTAACAGGGGATGGCAGGAGGGCCCAGTGGGGGCCTCTGTGTGTCCTTCTGCTGTGGTCTCCTCACAAGGTAAACTGACAGCACTCAGTTGTGCCCCCACCTACCACCCAACTTGGGTGAGTTTTTTGTTTAAACTCGAGTAAACAGGGACTGCAGGTCCTTCCTGCCCGTGTTGGGCGGATGGACGTGACTGATCCTCACTGAGAGGAAGCACAGAGCAGCAGGAACTTTTGGTAACTGGTAAACCTTTATTCTGAGTGGAACACATGAGGTCAGCTTCTGCTGTGCACTATACATTCACGAGAATGACTGCGAACCTGGGGCCACACTGTACAGCACGCAGCCCACGCCTCCCCTTGACAGAGCCTGCAGTGCCGACCCTGGAGGGCGGAGCCAGCGTCCTGCAGAGCTTGAGGGGGAGGAGCCACAAGAGGGCAGTTTCCAGGGGGCAGTTCTGGCGACTGCTGAGCCCAGTCAGCTGATCCACCGGCTGATCCCCAGAGCTCCTGTCTCCTGACACTGCTTGGCTGCACACGGTTCACAGCAGCGGTATGTTCACTGGGGCTCAGAACACAGCGGCCACACAAGCACTCAGCACTGCCTGGCAGAGACATCACTCACTCAGCACAACCATAAATATTTCACAGCAGTTCACGCTCACATTCAGCCTTTCGTGAAGAGCCAGGGCACAGGAGGGCCACGGAGAGGTATTTCCCCCAGCCCCTCCTCCTATTCACAGTGTCAACTCCATCGGTTAACCTTGAGGCATCCAAAGACTGAGGAGCAGTTCTCTGTATGACTTCACGCATCCACACCCAAGGAGGAACAAACACGTTCAAGTCCAGAGTTCACTGCGCCTTGCCGGGCCCACTGTCCCAGAGGGCACGGGCGTTCTCACTCGGCTCACCCTGAGCAGCAGGGCAGCCTGCAAAACCTCGCCCTGATTCTGGGAGAAGGTGGAGGTCCGCCTTGGGGAAGTGGGTGTAGACAGGGGCAGGGGCATAAAACAAGACTCCAGTCCAGGAGTGGATGTCACAGCTACCCAACCCTACAGATGGGGAGCGTGGGGACAGCGGGACTACATCACTTGGCCTCGGCAGGTGCTCTTTTCCCATCTGGTTCGCTGCCCGCCTGGAGCTGAAGCAGGGAGGAGGAGTGCTGGGCCTGGGCTGAGTTCCAGTCCTCGGCTCATCCAGGGGCAGGGCTGCAGGGCTGCAGGGAGGACTCCGCCCAACACGTCCAGAGTTTCCAAAGGGCCTGTTCTTGCAGAGACGGAGCCACTACCTTGAGGACAGCAGGCAGCTCAGCCACTACGAGGCCCTACTCTTCTGTCCATTCAGGGAGTCGATGTAATGAAAAATGGCCCCCAGAGCCCAGCTGGTCTCAACGTTGTTGATTTTCCGAGTCAGCTGGAGAAGACAAAGGGAGGGGCAGAGGGGCCCATGCACACAGGTAAAGGATGGCTTGGGTGGGAGGCAGGAGGCAGCGTCCTGGCCCCTCAGGCTGTGAGGGGCACAGGGTGCAGGAGGCGAGCCCTTACCTTCAGCACTTTGTTTCCCGGGAAGCCGAATTCTCGGAGCAGCAAGCTGATGTAGGTGAGATCCATGCACAGGAAGGGGTTGCTCTGTGGGCGGGTCTCCGCTGTCCGGCACACTGGGGATGAGAGAGCCGGTTCCCAGTCAGGTTCCCCCGGGGGGTGTGGGGGGGTGGGGGGGTGGAGGGGTGGGTGGGGGTAGGTGTATGCAGACCCAACTCCACTCACTCCAGGTGTCTACTCTGCACCAGGCTCTGTGTGGACTCCCGGTCCTCACTGCTGATTTAAATAAGCCTGCAGCTCGGAGCCGGACCGCCACCCACCAAGAGCACACCAAGGGGCGGGCCTGAGGCCAGCCACTCGCCAGGGGCTGGGCCGCCCGTCAAGGTGTCATGGGTGGGAGGCCACATCTCTGCCCCCATGACATGGACACCTCTCCCGGACGCAGACCTGGGCTTTCTGAGGAATGAAAACACCAGCAAAACTCGCTCCGAACAATCTACTCTTGTTCTCCAGGGCGATGGACAAACCCACCCACAGCCTTCCCAGCATTCTGCTGGGCACCTTTGCCTACTGAAGAGTCACGGACACCCAGTGTCCACAAGACAAACCCGGAAATGACAAGAAAGCTTAGGAGCCATTTTGGGGAGGAACAAGGACTTTCTATGGAGAAACATACAAAGGTTAACTCTTTCGACATGCAATTGGGAATGGCAACCAAAGAGCAGAACATTCACAAGCCTTTGCTTCCTATCCTTTTCGACTGGGGCGTGAGATGGCGAGAAAAGAGACGGCTCAGGGCTGCAGGGCCAACACCTGTGACACCCCAAGGGCACAGGACCAAGCGTCCAGTTTGTGCCGGCGCCACAGGAGTCTCAAGGCCACTGAGGCCCGAGGCTGGCACCTGGGGATCCTGGGAGGCAGGCGCAGGGCGTGCCGAAGGGCTGGCTGCCAGCCTGCTTGCTCTTCATCCTCAGGTGCCGGGCTCTGCTGTTCCGGGGGCCCTGGCTTCTTCCAGTTCTGGTGACAATTTTGAATTTACTGGGACACTTTCAGGGGAAATCGCTCTTAGGGTTAACCTGAACCACAGCGAGAGGCGTCAGGAAAAGTAAAATCAAGGGAGTCCATTCCTCACAAGGATTTTTTACGGCTGGGGACACGGGTGGCCCCCTTCCCCACCGCCTGGGGCCACACGGGAGGTGGTGAACCGTTGGTCTGGGCCCAGCATGGTGACCCAAGTGTATTCTCAACTTCGTACTCACCCCTCTGAACACTCATCTGGTTGCCAGAATCAAGAGCTCACCCCAGGAGTTCTGGTGCCATTGCGTGTCACAAGCACCGCAGCCCGCGTCTCAGACAGGACAGCGTCCCTGCCTCCAGCTCCAGCCCTTCCCACCCGGGAAAGTGCAGCAGCCACTCACCGTACTTGGCCGCAATCTCAAAGTCTCCGACCACGAGGCTGCCTCCCTTCTCCGCATCTGGGGGACAAGACCAAGCGTCCAGTTTGTGCCTGAACCACAGGAGTCTCAGGGCCACTGAGGCCCGAGGCTGGCACCTGGGGACCCCGGGGAGGCGGGTGCAGGACGTGCCAAAGGGCTGGCTCCCAGCCTAGCCTGGCTGTAAGCAGGGCAGTGGCCCCGGGACACGGACCATGCTTTCTGAGGTGCTGACAGGCTTGGGGTGGGCAGATGTTCCCTGCAGGACCACATGGGGGCGGACAGCACATCAGGGATCTTACAGGGGCTGCCCGAGGAAGCCCACTAGACCCCACTTTTTAACTTTAAGAGAAGTAAACTGGAAATGTTCCCCAACGCTATGGCCCTGTGCTCAGCAATGGTATTCTGGCATCCGTTTCCTTAGCGTGAAAAAATTTTGTATAAAAAAAACGAGGGGCGAGGGGCGGGTTGTTAGGTCTTAGAACAAATGGGCAGCCCCAGGCCTCTGACCATTCCCGGGGAGAGAGGCACCTCACTTATGTCTGGCCTGAGGCAGCTACTCAGTGTGTGGAAAGGAAGTCTCCTGACTTCTGGGGCGTTGGCTAAGTCAGCAAACGTCAACACTGAGGGTGGGTCCCAAGGGGTTCTTTCAGAGCCACATGTGAACACAAGAAGCCAGAGGAGCTGTTCCGAACAACCAGCATCTCCTGGGTCACCTGGGCCGATGTCGGACCCCAGGGAAAGGACAGCCTTCGGCCACGGTGAGGAGTCCCAGACTGACAAGGGGATGCTGGGGTGGTGCCCAGCAGGCTGCCAGGGTGTGGTGGACCCCAGGCACTGCAACGCCCGCAGCTGGCAGCACGGTTAGGAAGTGTGCACGACGTGCCCTTGCTCCAGCTCCACGGAGCCCACAGGGTCCCTAAGGCCCAGCAGCCTTAGGTTGGCTGTAGGGGGCAGCCCAGGGACCCTTGTTCTGTGCCAGAGAGAGGGACCAGGGTCTGAGAGAAGGGTGAGGGTGAGAGAGAAGACCCCTACCCCCCTGACTGCCTTCCACAGGGGCCTGACAGTGGGTGGCTTCGTGAGCGTGAAGGCTCGGCTGGAGGTCTCAGGATCCCGGGAGCCAGAACCTGACATCATTGCTGTCTTCTGAAGCTTTTTATTTGCATTAATGCTCTTATCTTTATCACAGGCAATGCATTCTGAATGTCTCAATTATTTCATTAACAAAATTTCTGGTCACCAGCCAATGAAGTGACTTCAAACCCTCCAGAGCTTTCACCCTCAGTCTAAGCACCACCCCTTGGCAAACTCCACATGACATGGCCTGTCCTGACTGCACTCTGGGGTGTGGAGTCAGAGAGACCCTAAAGGCTCCTCAGGGTCCCCAGTGGCATCGGCTGACCTCTCCCCAGCGCAGCCTGGGGGCCAGCCAGGGACACACGCTGCCTGGCTGAGGCACAAAGGGCTCCATCAGCCAGAGACTCAGGAACCAGGCAGGAGGGTGGGTCTGAGTTAGGTGAGCCAGTCCTGCCTCAGAGCAGAAGTGACTGCTCCTGCCCCGACAACATACCTACTAAGTGGCTCAAAGAACTGAGTTATTTATTTAAAGGGGCTTATTCCCTCTTATTCGATGACAAGACCCCTGCCCTCCCCAGTCAGTCCACTTCTCTTGCCCCGAGGTGATTGGCAGCACAGCTGCTCCCTGACAGAGCCCCTCTGCCCAGGGTCTACACCTTACCGATGAGCTCCTGGCCCAGCCTCCCTTACCTATGAGGCCAACATTTGCTGCAAGGTCATAATAGTAAGAAAAAGCATAAAAATCCACGTCCTTCACTTCTTCTGTCCTGTGCACTTTATTCTGAAGGACCTCGGACACTCTGCGGGCACACAGCTGGTAGAGGTTCACTGCTGGGCAAAGCAAAAGCAGGGCCAGCAGTCAGTGGGCTCCCGTACCCAAGCACAGTCCCTGAGCCTCTTTCCCAGCGACCTGAGTCTGACCGGGGAGGGGGAGGTGGGACCAGGAGCCTGCAGACACCACCCCAGGTCGGCACACGCTAGCACCATACCCGTCAATAGCACCTCTCAGGGCCACGGCTCTGATCAAGGGAGGGACACCAACTGCAGGACACCAGCCTCCGCTGGCCCCATGCAGCCATCCTCACAGCCCAATGGGCTCAAGTGTGCAGTTTACCCTCCACTCGCCCTCTGCCAGCCCCGTGCTGAGTTCTGAACGTGCAGCGTCTTTCTCCGTCTCACCCGACACCGTGGAGGTGAGGCCTGCACTCTCCTTGTGTCACAGACGAGGAAACGGAGGCCTAACAGGCAGCTGCCCATGCTCACAGGCTGGCCGCTAACTCCTTGCTTGGAAGGAGAACACGGGCTCGGGAGTTAAGGGGTTAAATGCCCACAGCCCATGCCCAAACGAGTTTCCCTTCCTCCTTTCCCAAAACCTGTCCCACCACCCAAGGGCAGCCCATTCAGTCCTCTCCAGGCCCACAGGCCACCCCTTGCCCTTCAGACCGGACCAGTCACACTACCTCCTCCTGGTTCTGTAAACACAGCGGCTGCCCCAGGGCCTCTGCACACGCTGTTCCCTCAGCTTTAGATCTGGTGGCTCACTCCGAATCTCTTCCTATCTGCTCTCAAGTATCCCCTGGTTGTCTGATCTAAAACAGCAATCTCTCCTTTGGCACCCCCTCTCCTCCTTCTATTTTATTTTTCTTCAAAGCGCTTTCCCATGGGTTTTACTGCCTGACCCCTCCCACTCCTCCTGGGCACAGCCTTGCCTGCACTGTGCACTGACTGTGTGCCAGTAGCTGCAGCAGGGCCAACAAACGGCATGTGCACAGTGGCTGAGTCACAGTGACCCGCACACCCACTGGATATTAAGAAATGTATTTGGTCTTGTTCCTGGTTTCTGATACAGAGCTCCTGAATCCCTCGTAAGATCCTGAGTGATGGAGGGGAAGGGGGAAGCGGGGGTGAGGAGGGACATCTGCTATTCATAATAAGCTCCTTTCAAGCAGACCCGAGTTTATGCTAATAAGGTGACTCTTGGTGGGTCCCCAGGCTACAGGGTCGGGGGTGATTGTCAGAGGAACCTACCATGTGATATGAGGTTTGGGACTTCCCAACCCCAACATCCGGGGAGGGGCGAGGGACTAGGGACTGACTTATCACCAACGGCCAAAGATTTAATCAATTGTTTCGAGAACTGATTGGTGTAGAAAACCCACACATTTGGTGTCAGAAGAGTAGACACAACTCTGTCACCAAAGGCAGACAAGCCTCAGGACCACATGTCCGGCCTGGGAACAACATTCCAATACTTCCTTAAGATGACACTGCAGTGCACAGAGCGACCGAGACCATGTGGGGGGAGAAGGGCCAGGCTGGCAAGGCCCTGTCGCAGGCCTTCGGGGACCCTGCAGCCTGAGCGAGCCTCCCGTCCTGGAGGAGGAAGGGAAGGAGAAGCCATCGCTCCCTGTGTTCAGAAACGGGCTTGCTGACTGTCCTAGGGATGCTCAGGCCTTTCTCACTGGGGCTTGTTGGGAAACCTGGCCCCTTGGAAGAAAGCACCTGGCAACAGACAAGAAGCCTTGGGCAGAGACCCCGGGGAGCTGGTGGATGCCAGTGGGCCGGCAAGGGCCTCCCAGAGTCCTGATGAGGTTCAAGGGCGCCTCCATTTCAAGGACAAGTGCAAGCTCGCCTGTAAAGGTGTGATGACAGTCTCCCTGCTCTCAGAGGTCCTCGGAAGGGGCGGGCTGCACCGTTGACCCTTCTCCCCCACGATGAAGGGTAAATCCACACAGTACCTGCCTTCTGTCCGGAAAGTCTGTACGTTATTTCAGCATGTTCCCACTCTCCTTTGAAACTCGGAGCCAGACAGGGACTGACCAACTCCTTTCCACCCTCCACTGAAATAAAAAGAGAAGAAAAGCACATTGTCACTGCAAGACCAGGGCACTGCATGGAGCTGAGACATGACTGCACTGAGGGGAGGCCCAAGGGACAGAATATTTTAGGCCAGGACTACAGGCGCGGAGGGTACAGGAGAGACCGGACTCATGGGAGTGTCCAGGCCAGCGCCGAGGTAGAGCCTTTATCAGAGAGGCCGGAGCAGAGCCTCATCTGCCCTGGAGACATGGCCACTCCCAGCTCACATTCCCTGAGGGGCTTTGGGGTTCCAGGCACCAGGCCTGGTGCTGCTCAGGGATTGTCACAGGACCCTAAGAGAAGGGGAGCAGTCGTTACCCAATTTATGGATGACCGAGGCAGGGCCAGGATACTGCTACCCTGCCACAGGTCTGTGCTGCTCCCCCAAAGCTGGGGCCCCATAATTAGCCAAGGAAACGTGGTGGCTGGCCTCCAAGGCTGGCCCCGCAATGCCACCCCTTGAGGGTGTGCGTGCTGGTCTCCCACTGAAAAGTGGGTCCCTGTCCCTGCCTGAGTCCACTTTCACCAACAGAAGGTGCAGGACACGATGTCCTGTGACTCAGGCAGTCTTCTTTCCTCTGAGCCTCCAGGGAGAACACGGGCTGCTCTGCTGGGACAGAGGCCACGTGGAGGAGTGCCGGGGGGCAGACATGCAGCCCAGCCACCCTACATGCCACCACATGGGACCCCAGGGACTCCAGTACAGGTGTCACCCAGTCGAAGCCTGTGGATTCATGAGATACAATAAAATGTACTGAGTGCAACCACTCAGTTTGGTGGGTGACCTGCTGCGCTACAATGAATACAACAGGGAGACTCATCCTCTGAAGTACACCCACTTGGTGGGTGTCACGGCTCCCACTTGTGTGGCCTGTCAAGACCAGTGGCCTCCCAGCTGCTCTGTATCAGCCAAGGATGGCAAACTGGTGCTTGCCTTCTTCTTGTTGGCTAGTGTTTTCTGGCCCCAGAGTGAAGGTAACAGGTGTGTCTGAGACGTGGACATACTTTTGGTTTGCAACAAAGGGGATTATCATCACGAGGTGAAACACCAGAATTTGAAAGAAATGAATGGAAACAGGATGTACCAAAAGAAAAAATTCCAGTTGAACATTCCCATCGTGTCAGACAACCAGGTCCTTAAAGAGGGTAGAAGAGCTGGGCCGGGGCTGGGCGAGAGGTGGGGCCCAGAGAGGCAGGGCCAAGGGAGGGGGTGTGGCTGACAAGATCTGGGGTACATCCTTCTACACACGTCCCTTCTGGGCTCCCCGAGTCCTACCGGCAGGGAGGGCAGACCGGAAGCCAGGCCAGGGGTCAGTGGAGGCACGGGCAGGAGAAGGGGCTCCACACCCACAGGACTCCCCATGCCTGCCGGGCCAGGGGGGCTCTCAAGATTGCATTCCACTTACCAGGCTTCCCCTCTGTGCCGCCCAGAATCGCCAGCCGAGCCGACATCAATCCGAGCCCCAGGTAGCTGTGGGAAGAAAATCCTGGGTGAGGGTTGGCCTGCCATCTCCTACTCAGATTCTAATACATTCACCTAGCTCAGTGGTTGGCAAACTGCGGCTCACGAGCCACATGCGGCTCTTTGGGCCCTTGAGTGTGGCTCTTCCACAAAATACCGGCTC